TATTTTATACATGTGGTAGCTGAGCCTGCAGTGTCCTGTTCGTAGACGGAAAATTTTATTCTTTCTGTTGAGTCTGCTGATGGGGTTTTGTGGATGTTTACTGTTTGTTCTTTTCACAATTCCTTGTATTTTCCCTTGTTCTAATTTCTCGCAAAGACAATGAAAGTGTGCGTTGTTTTGCCTTTGTTCCATTTTTTTCAAGTCTGTCTGCTAACTAATTTACTGGTATGTGGTGCGCAGGCAATGGGTCTAGGCTTAACAAAAATCTAATTTACAAAGTCATGTGTTACTCTATAAATTAGATTCTTGGCAAAAGATATGCACCCAAAATTCAAGTTCTAGAACAACACTAAAGTGCAGAAGTTGACGAACAACCAGAATTTTCCTCCAATGATTACAGCCGGTTAACGAGGAAAAGAGATTAAAGTGCACTTTTATTTCGCAAATAGATAAGATATGCATAAATAGATACAAATTGTCACCATTTTCACGAATTTGGTTTCATTTTGTCGCCTTTTGGCAGGAAATTCCCAACAGACTGGCAATGGATCGCCCGAGACGCTGATTATGCAGCTCGTGACTGCTGGACTCAATTCCAGACCACGGACTTGGAACTAGAACTTAAAAACCTCATTGTACTTATAATTGTATTTCGTTTGAATTTAAAAAAAAGTCCTTTGTCTAAAGTTCAGCCTGAAATTTTCACCGACCTACCGATTGCAACGGAGACCTCATTTCTGTGCAATTTTTCTATTAGATTCACAGATGTTGGTCACTCCCTTTGCTTCATTTAGTAGTCTGCTTCTACAGGTGCCTCTACCGATAATATAACTGCACTCGTTACTATCTACTTCTTCTTCTTCTTCTTCTTCTTCTTCTTCTTCTTCTTCTTCTTCTTCTTCTTCTTCTTCTTCTTCTTCTTCTTCTTCTTCTTCTTCTTCTTCTTCTTCTTCTTCTTCTTCTTCTTCTTCTTCTTCTTCTTCTTCTTCTTCTTCTTCTTCTTCTTCTTCTTCTTCTTCTTCTTCTTCTTCTTTTTCTTCTTCTTCTTCTTCTTCTTCTTCTTCTTCTTCTTCTTCTTCTTCTTCTTCTTCTTCTTCTTCTTCTTCTTCTTCTTCTTCTTCTTCTTCTTTTTTTTTTTCTTCTTCTTCTTCTTCTTCTTCTTCTTCTTCTTCTTCTTCTTCTTCTTCTTCTTCTTCTTCTTCTTCTTCTTCATTTTCTTCTTCTTCTTCTTCTTCTTCTTTGTTTCTTCGTCATCGTCGTCGTCTTCTTCTTTTCTCTTCTTTCTTGCGTTTTTGGGGAGAAGCGGACAGAAGGTCCATAGAAGGCACTGAAATGAGAAACAAAAGGACTGAGCAAGCGATGACACGAAAGAGAAAACCCAGGACAAACAATGATGAGAAAGGCGTGAGGTGTTGGAATCCGACTCCATCCATCATTTTGACACAGTTAAACAGGATAGAACGAAATCAATTAAAAGACTGCGAGTCATATTTCAGCGCGGGATCACGGCATCACCCCGGGCAGATGTGTTTGTGCCCCAGTCTCCTCCTCGGTAGCTCAACAAGTCTAAAACGACACAAGCTACCTTTGTTTATCAAAATGTGTGTGTCCGTAGTGAAAAATTGATGTTTCGCAGCTTCACTAATATGTATAAGGATATGGAGCCATGCCGTAGTCGTCTTCACTTCTTCTTCTTCTTCTTCTTCTTCTTCTTCTTCTTCTTCTTCTTCTTCTTCTTCTTCTTCTTCTTCTTCTTCTTCTTCTTCTTCTTCTTCTTCTTCTTCTTCTTCTTCTTCTTCTTCTTCTTCTTCCTTCTTCTTCTTCTTCTTCTTCTTCTTCTTCTTCTTCTTCTTCTTCTTCTTCTTCTTCTTCTTCTTCTTCTTCTTCTTCTTCTTCTTCTTCTTCTTCTTCGTCTTCCTCTCTTTCTTCTTCTTCTTCTTCTTCTTCTTCTTCTTCTTCTTCTTCTTCTTCTTCTTCTTCTTCTTCTTCTTCTTCTTCTTCTTCTTCTTCTTCTTCTTCTTCTTCTTCTTCTTCTTCTTCTTCTTCTTCTTCCTCTCTTTCTTTTTCTTCTTCTTCTTCTTCTACTTCTTTCTTCTTCTTCTTCTTTCTTCTTCTTCTTCTTCTTCTTCTTCTTCTTCTTCTTCTTCTTTCTTCTTCTTCTTCTTCTTCTTCTTCTTCCTCTCTTTCTTTTTCTTCTTCTTCTTCTTCTTCTTCTTCTTCTTCTTCTTCTTCTTCTTCTTCTTCTTCTTCTTCTTCTTCTTCTTCTTCTTCTTCTTCTTCTTCTTCTTCTTCTTCTTCTTCTTCGCTTTCACCGACTGTAAACTCAGGTGGATATTTCTGGTTGTTCGTCCACTTCTGGACTGTAGTTATGTTCCAGAACCCGTGTTGTGTGTGCATCCGTTTGACAGATCTGACTAATTTGTATGCAAACTCTTGGCTCGTTGCCTCTCAGACAGGTGTACTCCGACTTCAAAGGAAGCTCCTAATCAGTCGACTCTTACGACATGCATTTGGGTAGGCAGTGGGTCTATTCTTGTTCTTGTTGGGTCTATTCCAGAACCCACACGGGAAGTCGTCTTCCCGACGAGCAACTCCTGTGGCACTGACGTCACAACACTTTTTTATGAAGTGCCGAGCCAGACATGATAACCATGGTAACCTCAATATCCGCCAGATAATCTGCATGCCCGTTGCCCCGAACATCTGCATGGTCCGGTTCACAGATATAAGTTAGACGACACATTATTCAGACAATCCATTCTTTTCCTGGTGAATCTTTCCTGTATTTTTTTCTTCTTTTTTTTTTTCTGGAGCTTATTAAGTGTCATGCAGCATGGGCGCTTTTCTGAACTCTTGTGTGTGGATATTTTCAGACCAGCCTTTGTCTCCATTAGGAGGTCACTTGTAACAGATTGAGGTTTTGGACAACGTATCAACATCATGGCACACGGGTAGTAACCCATAAGTGCTCCGTTCTTTTTCTAACTCAAGTCTGAGTTCGAAGAAGCGCAGCACAGTCCACAGGCTCTGTAGCACCGGCGAGGATCCTGAAATACTTTGGGTAGATTTTCAACTCAAAATTCTTGCCCGGGCAGCGCCGTTAGTCTACTCTTTTCGATTTCCTACTGCCAAGGGATTTTTTACGTGCGCAACAATGCACACAGGCGCCCGATCTCCCGAGACCAAGCAGCTCCTAAATGTAACAGTAAAGGCCTCATGTCTCTTTATTGGCTTCATCCCTTTAACTCGCCTTGAATATCTGTGCATTCCGGAATGGCAGATTCACCAGTCTGAACCATAAAGTCACAGAGTTTTAAATCATGAAAACCAGTGAGATTTATTCGTTCATACAGTACAAAACCACTACTTCGGTCACGTGGAATAAAAATCGTGCGTTTTAAAATCGCTTGTCATCTAATCTACAAGTTTCACCATTGTTCTAGTTTACTCCAAGTACAACATTTAAAAAGTAAGAGATAAGATATCTGTTGAAAGTCATGTCACTGTGCCCGGAACCAGAATTATTGTCTGGTGTTGTAGAATGAAAGGGGATTGTGGGTAGTGTCTGCCATACTCGCGTTGTTAGGTGAAACGTTAATGATCAGATACGTCCTCCTCTCTGAACTGACGATGTCAAGTCATTATTAACCCATTTAGTCATTAAATTAAATGATCTATAACGGACTTACTTGACCACGACCACATCCTGTTAAAGCCCGTATCTTACCTTATGTGTCATGTCTGTCAACGTAGGAGAGTAAATGGGTCAGTCATTTTTACTGCCGTTGCTGTCTCTATTTACATTTTTTTGCGGTACGTGTAAAAACAAAGGAGGGGGGGGGGGAGGGGGAGGGGAGGAGGACTTTGAATCTGAGGATTCATATATATAAAAGTTAGTTTCGTATCCTTTACATGACATTGCAGAACTGACCGCAAAATTTGTTGGCTGTTGTGGTTTTTCGAGGCACATTTACGTCCAATAGTTTGTCACTGACATAGAACTGGACAGAGAAATTAGCTCTAGATGTGTCAATGCTGATCAAGTAATAGGGCAACTATCTCCCTGTTGACACACAAACAGATATTACAGTTAATCTTATCAGAACTATTTTTTGGCCAACATTATGCTATCAGTGCTAATCGTGGACACTTACATCCTCCAATGAAAGTAACATTCTGACAACAGGGATGAAATGCCTTAGAAGAGCTGCAGGAGTTTCAGGGAAAGACAGAATACGAAATCATGAAATCAGACGAATGCTAGGAATAAAGCCAGTCTTACAGGTCATCAGAGAACAACAAATGAAGTGGTTTGGACACCTAACGAGAATGACCTGGTACTGTCTGCCACAGCGAGCCACACTAAAACGTTACAACGGGTATAGAGCGAGTGGAAGACCTCGGAAAATATGGAGTGATGGCATTTAGAACAGCCTTACAGAAATGAACATCAGCCTTAATAGTACTCTTGACAGAGTTCATCAACGAACATTACATCTCCCCCCCCCCTCCCCCCCCCCGACACTTTGCTGAGGTACAAGGTGGAAAAGAAGAAGAAGAAGAAAAAAGAAGAAAAAGAAGAAGAAGAAGAAGAAGAAGAAGAAGAAGAAGAAGTTGGTTCTCGATGCCACTGTTGAACCCAAAGCAAGACGCAGGGTCTGCTGCTAGGATCGAACCCGGCACTCCGGTATTACGAAGCGCGTTCGCAACGCCTTAGCCAAACACGCGACTATACATATATATTTCTGTATTTCCCTTTTTAGCCAGCGTTGGTACATTTTCAAAAATTTCGGCAGCACTAATGACAACATTGTCAGCTAACTCAAACTTGATTGGTGGAGACGTTTTCACGGAAGGAGTTAAAAACAAGCCCTGTGGATCGCTGCTTTTGTCGTTGGCATAAAAGTTTGAAAGACTGCTAGGACAAGGATATCAGATCTAGATAACGTTCAGACTGTAAAAGTTCAATCGGCAGTGCTTTTGTATTTTAGAAAATCAAAATGAAAGTTCTGTTAATCTCAGCAGTGATTTACTGCGCTATTGCTACGTGTTTTGCACAGAAAGTTGAGTTTCATGACTGTGGTAAGTATTTCGCGCTGACATATTCAAAATGTCGTTGCTACTCCACTTCATATCATTACATTTGACGTTCTTTTCATTCAAAGTCAGCGTTTGTGGCTTAGGCGTTGCCAACGTGCTTCGTAGTGCCGGGTTCGATCCCAGCTGCGGGCCTTGCGCCTTGCGTGGGTTTCAACAGTGGTATCGAGAAGCCGACCGTTTAGAATGCCATGGCAAACTTCTTCTTCTTCTTCTGCCTTTCTATCCCCCAATGGAGCATAGGCCCTCAATTAACTCACGCCAAGTCGTTCTATCCTTCGCCATTGCATGGAGCTCTCCCCATGTCCTCCCCATCTTTCTAACCCCATTCTCCAGCTCTCTTCTCCATGTGTTTTTTGGCCTTCCTTTATTCCTCTAACATTCCAGGTGCCAATTCTGGAGGTTTTCCTAGCTGAGAGAAGGTACGTCAACGATCCGGACTCCTTACGGCTTTCTCCACACCGTGTCGTACTTCTTCTATTTGAAGAGCCTCCCCTCATCTTGGTTGGCTGGATTTTATTTGCTTCTCTTTTTCACTTATCCATGGTTGGTTGGTTTTTGTGGCTATGGTTTTTACAGGATGAGGTAGCCAACTTCAAGCCCAACCCTACCCTTAGTCGCCTCTTACGACATGCCTGGTAGGGTGCAGTGTCACTATTCTTTCCTTCCCGTGAGGACCCCGGTGACACACGGGCGCATGGCAAACTACTGGATGTAAATTTGCCTAGAAAAACCACAGCAGCCAAAATATACTGGGGTTAGTTCTGCTACGTAAAGGACACGCAATTAGCTTCTTTTCTTTTTAAATTCAAAATACTTATTTGTTGAATTCTCAGAGAAGCTTCTCTGCAGTAGAATGTCTATGTTATCACGATTTGGCGTAATTTTAGCAGCATAGCTGCATAATCTGTCTCTTCTTCGATCCTTCTAACAGAAAAACGTATATACCAGCTACCCAGTAGTCTCGATGACAGCTATCGTGCAGTACAGTTCTTCTCGTGTACCATTTGGCTTGGTTTTAGTTGAGGCTTGAACATGCCAGATTGTTTCTCTACTGGCAGCAAACAGTTAAAAGAAATGAAAAGAAATACTACAGTTGAAATTTGTAATTCTCTAAATCAGATCAGTACTTCTGTATGAGGCGGAAACATGGAGAACAACTAAGGCAGTTATTAATAAATTAGACATTCATTAACTGGTGCCTGCGCAGAATAGAGAGAATTAAATAGTATGATAGAATAACTAATGTAGAGCTTTTGGCGAGAATTAAGCAAGCTCCAGTGGACCAAGAGGTGAAGAAAAGACGCTGGCGTGGGATAGGACACACATTTAGAAAAGCGGAAAACAGCATAACTAGAATGTCTTTACATTGAAACCCACAGGGGCATAGAAATAAAGGACGGCCAAAAAAAAAAAAAAAAAAAAAAACACTTGGAGAAGAGAGCTGGAGATTGAAGTTAGAAAGATGGGGAGGACATGGGGACAGCTCCATGCGATAGCGAGGGATAAAACGACATGGCGTAAGTTGGTTGAGGGCCTATGCTCCACTGGGGGCAAGAAAGGCAGAAGAAGAGAAGAAGCAAACAGTTGGTGGTGCTGGAGCACATGCAGAGCAGTTTCAGATACCAAGTTGCGGGGACACATCCCCGTGTCCTCTACGTAGAGCTTAAACATTACGATGGCTTTAGTCTGAATATGAAACACTGCGCCTCCCTAGAGAGGACTATCAGGCGTGCGAGGTAACGAGCAAGGGGTAGACTAGCTGCTGCCGCTCCTCTGGGCATTAGCTACTATATGATAAAGCGGATGTGGTGAAGGCTCTTTGGCAGCACTATTCTTCACCTGGCCCGTGAAGGTCTAGCAAGTGGCATAAGGATCATTGCCATTTGTATTGTATTAATAACCTTTCTATGCTGGGGCTTGTCGGCTCTGTGGCTAAGTCGATGCGAACGCTTCGTAATGCCGGTATGCCAGGTTCGATCCTAGCTGCGGGCTATGCTTCTTGCGTTAGTTTCGACAGTGGTATCAAGAAAGCCGACCGACCAGGAAGCAATGGCAAACTACTGGAGGTAAATTTGCTATGAAGCTGAAACTAAAAATTACCAGATTACCAGACACACACACATACACACACATACACACACATACACACACATACACACACACTTACACACACACACATACATACATACATACACACACACACATACACACACACTTACACACACACATACACACACATACACACACTTACACACATACACATACATACATACACACACATTGTAACTGGTTCAGAAAGCATGTTAAGGAAGGTCAGGACAGGCATGTTTCACTGCAGAGGACACGGGTGAGGAGCATTGTCTGGATTTGTTTTAAGCACACAAGGTCAGATCTACAATAAACATACAAGATCAGGTCTACAATAAACATACTAGATCAGGTCTACAATAAACATACAAGATCAGATCTACAATAAGCATACTAGATCAGATTTACAATAAACATACAAGGTCAGATCTACAATAAACATACAAGATGAGATCTACAATAAACATACAAGATCCGATCTTCAATAAACATACAAGATCAGATCTACAATAAACATACAAGATCAGATCTACAATAAACATAAAAGATCAGATCTACAATAAACATACTAGATCAGATCTACAATAAACATACAAGATCAGATCTACAATAAACATACGAGATCAGATCTACAATAAGCTTACTAGATCCGATCTACAATAAACATACAAGATCAGATCTACAATAAACATACAAGATGAGATCTACAATAAAGATACAAGATCAGATCTACAATAAACATACAAGATGAGATCTACAATAAGCATACGAGATCACATCTACAATAAGCATACGAGATCACATCTACAATAAACATACAAGATCAGATCTTCAATAAACATACAAGATGAGATCTACAATAAGCATACGAGATCACATCTACAATAAACATACAAGATCAGATCTACAATAAACATACAAGATCAGATCTACAATAAACATACAAGATCACATCTACAATAAACATACAAGATCACATCTACAATAAACATACAAGATCAGATCTACAATAAACATACAAGATCAGATCTACAATAAACATACAAGATCAGATCTACAATAAACATACGAGATCAGATCTACAATAAACATACAAGATGAGATCTACAATAAACATACTAGATCAGATTTACAATAAACATACGAGATCAGATCTACAATAAGCTTACTAGATCCGATCTACAATAAACATACAAGATCAGATCTACAATAAACATACAAGATGAGATCTACAATAAACATACAAGATAAGATCTACAATAAACATACAAGATGAGATCTACAATAAGCATACGAGATCACATCTACAATAAACATACAAGATCAGATCTACAATAAACATACAAGATCAGATCTACAATAAACATACAAGATGAGATCTACAATAAACATACAAGATCAGATCTTCAGTAAACATACAAGATGAGATCTACAATAAGCATACGAGATCACATCTACAATAAACATACAAGATCAGATCTACAATAAACATACAAGATCAGATCTACAATAAACATACAAGATCACATCTACAATAAACATACAAGATCACATCTACCATAAACATACAAGATTAGATCTACAATAAACATACAAGATCAGATCTACAATAAATATACAAGATCAGATCTACAATAAACATACAAGATCAGATCTACAATAAACATACGAGATCAGATCTACAATAAACATACAAGATCAGATCTACAATAAACATACAAGATGAGATCTACAATAAACATATTAGATCAGATCTTCAATAAACATACAAGATGAGATCTACAATAAGCTTACTAGATCCGATCTACAATAAACAAACAAGATCAGATCTACAATAAACATACAAGATGAGATCTACAATAAACATACAAGATCAGATCTACAATAAACATACAAGATGAAATCTACAATAAGCATACGAGATCACATCTACAATAAACATACAAGATCAGATCTACAATAAACATACACGATCAGATCTACAATAAACATACAAGATCACATCTACAATAAACATACAAGATCAGATCTAAAATAAATATACAAGATCAGATCTACAATAAACATACAAGATCAGATCTACAATAAACATATAAGATCAGATCTACAATAAACATACAAGATCAGATCTATAATAAACATACAAGATCAGATCTACAATAAACATACAAGATGAGATCTACAATAAACATACAAGATCAGATCTACAATAAACATACAAGATCAGATCTACAATAAACATAGGAGATCACATCTACAATAAGCATACCAAATTAAATCTACCGTAAGCATACCAGATGAGACAGTTTGGGCAAACAAGCTCAAATCTACTATGATCACACCAGATCAAATCTACCTGTGAGCACACCAGATCCAATCTACATTCAGCATACCACATACAACTGACAATTGCGGTTTTTATTTCAGGCTCGCAGCTGTCCACCATTAATGAAGTTGACGTCAACCCCTGTCCAAGCCTGCCGTGCATCTTTAAAACCAACTCCAATGTCACACTGACCATAACTTTGACACCCAGTAAGTATAGTATTTGGTCCTAACAAATTGTCCATACCAAGCGAATCACCTCTAATAATTGACAAACCTCGCTCCAATACGGGAAGCAATGTTTTTGTTAGTTTAAAGCACCACCCTGGCTGTAGTCTTCTTCTTCTTCCTCTTCAGGGTTCCGAGCCCTTGAGGTTTATTGCTGCAGATATCACCAGCCTCCATTCATCTCTTTGGTTGTCCTTCTCTCTCAAGTTGGTGACACCAAGTGTTTGCAGGTCTGTCTGGACGTTATCTCTCCGTGGTCTTCTTGGTCTGCCTCGTGGTCTACGACCATTCAGCTCCCTTGTGTTTACATTTTTTACTTCTCTGCCATTTGACATTCTCTGAATATGCCCCAGCCATTTCAGTCTATTGGCTCTCATGATGCCAGTGATCAGTGGTGATTTAAACAGATTATGAATTTCGTTGTTGCTTCACACTCTCCATTCCCCGCTGTTTGAGTCTCTGATGGGTCTTAGGATGCGTCGTGATACTAATATAACCTAACGGTTAAACTGAATTCCTGTTACTTGTACCGAGATGATTCTCATCCCAATGGTGGCACTTTGTGTCACCGGGTGTTTATAGCTTGTTGTTCCTCCGGGGTTGAACGTCACTCACGCAGCGACTCACCATGCGTTCTTTTTCGTCGGGAACCGCCGTGGTGTAGCTGCTTGACGCTCGCCTTTGAATCCGCGGTCGTGGGTTCAGATCCTGGAGGAGCGGGACTTTTTTTTCAAAAATCGCCTTGGTTCCCAGATCCAGTCAGCCTTAAATGAGTAGAAGATAAAGTCATAAGAAGTAAAGGCGGTCGGCGGGATGTTGACCACACACCAAAAGCCGATTGGTCTATAAAAATATAGTGTTCCTAATTTTTATCCTACCAAATGACGTCACGAGACAGTCCAACAGTTTAGAGAGGGTAAGACTGTATTTCCCGGCTTTCGGATGCTTATAAGGACCCCCAAACATCTACAACTGGCACTAACCCCAACCCACCTATGTCCCTACGTAATTGTGAGTTTTTTTCCCTTCCCTAATATAGCCAATCTTCCTTGATGTTCAGATCTTTCAAGATATCAGTATTTCACCTTTTCTTTGTCCAAGATATTCTGAGAATCTTTCTATTGCATTTCAGCTCAAAAGCCCCTATTCTCTTTCTTGAGCATTGAGATATAGTCCACGACTCACATCCGTCTGTAGCCACAGGAAAGATGCATGCTCTCACAATTCTAATTTTGATCTCCTTGCTGGTGCTTAACCCTAGACTTGTAAGGCTATCAATGGGATATATATGAATTTGTTCTATACTAATATACAGATGCAGCTGTGTCAGACGCCAAGTCAGTAGTCACGGGTATCATTGAGGGAATTCCCGTTCCCTTTCCTCTGCCCGACGAAAACGCCTGTAATTTCATGACCTGCCCCTTGGCACCAGGAACTGCTGTCACCTACAAGACTGCCATCTTCGTCAGGCCGGAGTATCCCTCAGTATGTTGTTGTTGTTGTTGTCAGTATATGAGGTCCATGTAGGTTAAATCACCACTTGGGAGATGAGATGCCCGAGAAAAGCCGTAAACCTATCCAACCCAGATCGAGCGAATACAGATAACTATCAGACAAATTGTGGGAACGCCACCTTGCACAGTAAAGTAAAGGACCCTTTTCTACGCCTTTAGGCGTATATGGCATATATGGCTAGACCTATATTTTTATAGACCAATCGGCACAAGATGGGTGATGTGGTCAGCATCACGCCGGTCGCCTTTACCTCCTGGGACTCTTGCACAAATGGAATTCCGTTATTCGTACACATCAATTTTCGTATATTTTTCCTTCCAATTTTTCCTTTTTTTTTTTCATCGAAATTTTATTTGTTTAATATTCGTCTGAAAAGACAATATTCGTCCCTCCTTCGATGTGGTTGGCGAAGAAGGGTCAAAGAACGGATTTCACAGCACAAGATCAAATCAAGCTTCATAAAGAAAAAGAAGCTGGAGCAATCAGACAAATTTCATAAGACAAGCAAAAAAGAAAATGCTGGACCATTTTCAGTTGCTGAAATTAAGGAATGGCTGTTTACTTGGTCGGTTAGGTTCGCGTAAATCTCCCCAAACAAAGTAGGTCACTTTTCATTCGCAAGTTTGTTGGGCTGGTCGACTTTTCTTAAGGTTATAGGTGTGTCCCTCTCTATTGTTTGCTTTCTGTGTTGTCTTGCATTTACGTTTTCATTCCGAGAAAGGAAATGCCTGTGACACAGGTTGCTGCACTCTCTATGGGAGCTGTGTTAGGGCTAGTTTCTCCAGGTTTTTGGAGGGTTAAAAGCGCTGACGTGCTGAAATATACAATGCGCGATATCAACGGCATTGCGGAACACCCCCGTAACTTTGTGGCAAGGTGACAGGTTCAGGAATTACCAGTCAGAAGTGAGCTAGTATGTTTATGGGTGGGACGTGTGGAGATTAACCTTACCACTTGGTCAAAAATGCAGATTTTGAAGGTAAAATGGCACCCAAACAGCGCTATAAATCAGTGGGTCATGAGGAGAAGCGGTCAAGCTGCGTGCCTCGCGCCTTTAAGGTCTTGGGTTCACTACATGTGGTCTTCATTGTAATGACGGTTTACAGTCTGTTCACGAATTACTTTTTTTTTAATTTGTTTTTCTTAAACTGCAATGTCAAATTTTTTTTTTTTACAAGATTAAACTACACTTGTTTTGTTCAGGGTATTCTAATAAAATTATATACGTTTCTTTCTTTTCAGACAAATTTGATTGTTCAATGGGAAGTGACGTCTAGTTCTGGCGAGGTGTTCTGTTTCTTGGTGCCAGCAACCATCAGCAAGTGACAGCCAGATTTAACCGACAGGATCAAACTCCAACCTGGCCAGGATGCGTATTACATTTGTATCAAACCATAGGCAGGAAATCAATGCTACTTTATTAAACTATCAATGTTGTTATTCTGTTGAAATTCGTTTATACGTTTTTTCTTCTGTTGTTAATAGTGAAACTGCAGGATTCTGAGGATACCAGTTTAATCCGTTCTATGACTGAGTTCGTATGGTAAATAACTCGTACTTGAAAGTTTTGTCCAAATCTTACCTAATATAATTAATTTTAATTTGAAGCCCACCAAAAATCAGTTTATTAGTTTCAAAACAGCGTTTTCCAGGCAATACCGGCGTAGTGGGTAATGAACAGACAGATTAGCTGGATCTGCACCACTGGCTGGTGAATTGATACATGACAAGGCAGATGTGGTCAAGGCCCTTTTGGAGCAAGCATCAGATTCAGTAGAGAACTAAGATTATTATGGTCTTGAGAGAATGAGGCACCTGGGTGTAACCAGAGGGTCTGGCTGGCTCACTACACTCAGAGGAAAGGCAAGAAGGCCAGATTGTGACCAGTACCATCAGTATTGGAACTCTACGCTGGCTGCTAAAGATGAGGACTGATCATTCATAGGAATGCCCTGAGTGCTGTGATGTCAATTCTTGACTAAACTCAACTCAAAACAGCGTGTGTTTTTTTTCGTTAACGGGATAAATGCTCGGAACTGCATTTCTGCTTTTCGACCATGTTGCAACAGTCTATCATCATTAAGTTTCTTGCCAACTGGCTCAAGTCCTCCTTCGGCAATGTTAGAGTGACCTAATCCATTTAAAATTATCGATATAATGTAATTTAACTTCGTATCTAGGTATACTCGTATTCTGAGATTATATTGCACTGGTTGTGTGCCGCTAGACTTAGCAGTTTAACGGATGACAGGCAGCCGAGCAAGGGATTACTTCCGATCATGATGCAACATTCTATCATCATCCAGTTTCTTGCCTACTGGCTTAATTCTACACATACATACACACACATTTACACACACGTGCACACACACACACACATATTCACACAAATACATACATATACACGTATACACACACACACACACATCATACAAGACAAATCTGATGTTTCGTTCAGAGCCTTCCCGCTTTCTCTCGCCTGTTTTTTTTTTCTTTTCTTTTCAAGAAAGGCTCTGGTTGAAATGGCCGATTGTGTGTGTGTGTTCGTGCGTGTGTGTGTGTGTCTGTGTGTGTATACGTTGTACCCAGCGTCTGAATTTGACTTGATAAGGTCCTAAGATATATAAAGCCCTAAAACCCCTATTGTTCTAATAAATTCAGCAATGTTGTACGATGACCGTTGAAATATAATAGATACAACGCTTTGTTACGCTTCTTAGTAACAGTTCAGTGGATTCATTTCTTTGTATTAGTTTGACTGCAATCACTAATGTCTTTCGACATCTAGCCTAGTAAATATATAGGATCCTTTCCACACCTTCAGGCGTAGTGGGCATATAGGGCTAGACCTATATTTAGTAGACCAATTAGCGGTTGGTTGATGATGTCGTTAGCATCAAGCTTGCCGCCTTTACTTCCCAGGACCTCACCTGGTACCTATTCAATCTTGGGTCGCGCTGGAAGCCAAGGTCATTAATTTTTTTAAAGAAGAAAAAAATGCCCACTACTGTGAGGACCCGAACCCAAGTCTGGCAGCTACATCACGACGACATACAACCTAAGAGTTGCGTGTCCTTCACAGGACGTTGCAGAACCAACGTGTGCTTTTTCTAGGCAAATTTGCGTCCAGTAGTTTGTCATTGCTCTCTGGACAGTCGGCTTTCTTGATACCACTGTCGAAATCAACGCAAGGCGCATGGCCCGCAGCTGGGATCAAACCCGGCAACCCAGCATTACGCAGCGTTCGCATCGACTTAGCCACGGTGCCGACACATACAACCTAGGTAAGCAAAAACAAAAACAAAAATCGCAGTGACCTATTCAAAATGAGATGTGAACAAGCGTCATTGCATACGGTTATAAACCATAAGTGCTCTTTTATAGCCTAAAGATGGCCGTGGCTACCAGTAACTAGAACTGCGATACGATGCTAGCTGAGCGTGCCTACTCTCAATCACGTAGCGACGATTAAAATGTCACGCAATACTCTTTACAATGTCATCGTAAATCGCAACCGTTTACACTTGCGAACTGATCACACCTCGCTACTCGTTGTGTACTGTATGTATTTGCAACCTATGAACACCTAACATTGTTGACTGCTCATGATGATATATACGGTACCTATTTATCTTTGTATCATATGCTGAGAAAAGCCTTCTAGCCGCAAAGTTCATTTTGTTGTTCTTGATCATGACATTGTGTGACGCGCTATTTCTACTTCTGGTATGGACTTATATTGTTGTCATGACATGGCACCAAGGTGATCGCTGGATGCATGAAAAAAAAAAAGATGTTCACTGATTTTAAACTGAAACAAAAATTTTCTAAGACAGGACCTATTGGAATCCCAACAAAGACAAGTAGGTTCTGTGGTGTAGTGGTTATCACGTCTGCTTTACACGCAGAATGTCGCGAGTTCGAACCTCGCCAGAACCTCGGCTACAATTTTTTTAATTAAAGTTTTAATTTGTTAGTTGAGTATCGAAATAAAGAGATGGAAGTAAAGAGACACAAAGCAAGTTGATTTGAATATATATATATATATATATATATATATATATATATATATATATATATATATATATATATATCGTCTAATAGAGAACATTAGATAAAGATAAAGGTAAAGTCGGGAGATGTGAACCAGCGTCATCGTACACGGTTATAAACCATAAGTGCTCTGTCACCAGTACGGACAGCTGATCAGAATTGTTCGCCTGTGTCGCCGTTCGCACGTTACTCTGTAGCTACAGCGACGTTCCTCCTTTTACCCCAGAGTGTCAACTATGGTACCCATTTTCTACAGGCTGGGTGAACCCCGGGAGCCGCCGGGTTTCGAACACCGACCGTGGCTGCAGCGAGTCGCAGTTGGATTTGAAAGGGAGCCTTTTATCGACTGCGCTAACGCAGTCCTTAGAGAACATTAGAATAGTCAAACATGATTTGCAGCGACAAGCAGAGGTCAGTTCGTAGGTAGTTGTGTCCAGCGGCGAGTCATGCAAAGTGGTTCGGACACCTAACAAGAATGCTCTGGTACTATCTGCCACAGCGAGCAACACTAAAACGTTACAACGGGTACAGAGCGAGAGGAAGACCTCGGGAAATATGGAGTGATGGCATTAGGAACAGCCTTACAGAAATGAACATCAGTCATAATAGTGCTCTTGGCAGACCTCATCAACGAATATTACATCTCCTCCCGACACTTAGGTGAGGTACAAGGTGGAAGAGAAAAAGAAGATGCATGTAACTGCTGTAATTGTCACTTACACTTTCCAATGCCAAGTAAAAGTAAAGGGCCATTTTCCACGCCTTTGGGCGTATAGGGCATATGGGGCTAGACCTATATATTATTGACGGCCGTGTTTACTTCCCGGGACTGCACCCGGTACCCATTCAAGGCTGGGTCGACCTGGGAGCCAAGGTCATTTTTGAAAAAAAAGTCCGGCCCTGCCAGGGAGCGAAACCGCGACCTTCCGATCCGCAGGCGAGCCTCTAGCCGCTCCGCCACGGCGACTCCCTCCAATGCCAAGGAAACTTGTATTTATTTTTACTGTTTACTATTAAGATATACGCCCCTCTGTTTACGCCCCGAACATGGCAACAAGAACGCTTGCAGCATGCTTACGCCACATTTGCAAAAGCTGTAACGTGTGAAAGCTACCAGTTACTAGAACTGTGATACGAGGCTAGCTGAGCGTGCCTACTCTCAATCACGTAGCGACGATTAAAATGTCACGCAATACTTTTTACAATGTCATCGTAAACCGCTACCGTTTACACTTGCGAATTGATCACACCTCGCTACTGGTTGTGTATTGTATGTATTTGCAACCTATGAACACCTAACATTGTTGACTGCTCATGATGATATATACGGTACCTATTTATCTTTGGTATCATATGCTGAGAAAAGCCTTCTAGCGGCAAAGTTCATTTTGTTGTTCTTGATCATGACATTGTAAAACGCGCTATTTCTACTTCTGGTGTGGAATTATATTGTTGTCGTGACATGGCACTAAGTTGTTCGCTGGATGCATGAAAAAAAAATGTTCATTGATTTTACACTAAAACAAAAATTGCTAAGACAGAACCTATTGGAATCCTAACTAAGACAAGTAGCTTCTGTGGTGTAGTGGTTATCACGTCTGCTTTACACGCAGAATGTCGCGAGTTCGAACCTCGCCAGAACCTCCTCAATTTTTTTTTTAATGTTTACACTAAACATTAATATATTAGCATCTGTACTCATGGACCACGGCCATCTTTAGATATAAACAGGCCAACTGGGTCAACGGGGATTCCCGTTCTTGTGCAAGAATTGAGCCCTTCTGTGTTAACAGTTTTTATCGAGGAAATGTATACACAAATTAAACTACAGTTTCATTAATTTTCTACATATTTTATAGAACTATACGTCATTTTTAAGGCAAATAAGTGTGCCGAATAAATATAACAATAAAGGCTCTTACAGACAAACAAAAGTGCTTTTGCTACAGTCAACATGAACATAAACATCAATAACGTTTAGATGAAAACTAAAAGTTGTTCCAGCAAAAGCAAAGAAAAATCAGTGCTAACTCTTTGATTCCGAGAGGGTATTGTTGCATCAGAGGAGCGAGGGGGGGGGGGGGGTGTGACATTTGTACTTTATCAAATTTAGCGCATACAAATACTGCTATGAAACGTGCACATATCATACATAACATAAATATAAATAATTGATGGTTATTATTATTATTAGTAGACTACTACAACATATGATTATACTGTTAGTTAATAATTAGTAAACAAGCACAATCAGTATGAAATTGATATGTGCA